AGGATTTTAGGCAGAAAGCCCTTTGCTGGTTGGGTCCCCTTGCTGAAATCCTTTGACTACCAATGTCACCACTATAAGACTGGTCCTCTGGTCCCCACGGGGCACTCTGAGCCGTGTCCCCTCACTGTGCCCCTGCTATTTGCCTCCTTCCCAGAGGATGGGTTTCTGCAAGGAGGCAATTCCCTGTACAGCTTCTGTGGGGCAGAGGGAAACCAAAGAGACGGGAGGATGCAGGGATGCTCGGATGGGCTGAGGGCTTCATGCCTTGGATGAGGGACAGGGAGGAGATCTTGTCCTGGTCCAACCAAAACTGTTCCATTCAATGCTATCATGTCTTAGGGACTCTTCTTGGAACACCTTTGTCCATTTTAATAAGCTGATTTTTAAAGGACATGTTTGTTTGAAAGTTTAAACACAGAGCTTGTCTGCTTCCTTGGGCTTTCATGTGCCTCAGTTTCCCCACAAGCTCCAGTTCATTTCCCACAGACCTCTGCCAGCCCCATTCCAGCAGGCACTGAGGGGCTGAGACTGGGATGGACCCAAAGCCTGGAGCTCCATTGTTTGGGAGACCCAACCATCTCTTGGGTACCATGTTCCCACCACCCGAGGTGGTGTTTGCTGGGTGAACACCTCTGGGGAGCTGGGCTCCAGTGCTCATCAGGAGGAGATGGGACTGTTTTTGGGAGCTGGAAACCTCAGAGGGAAAGCAGGACATGTTTATGGAGAAGAGGTGATGCTTTGAGCAATCTGGGTCCCTGAAACACCTTGGTCATCGTGATTCTTGACCACAACCACTGGGAAAGCACCATGGTACCTCCATGTGGTTGAGTTATTGGCCACCCTACTGTGAAAGTGGGTGAAGCCCCTCTGTTTCCAACTCAGAGAGGGTTTAGACACCCCAGATTGGTTCATTGGGAACTTCTCTGGAGGCAGGAGCAGTCCTTAGCGATGCTCCTTGAAAGCTGATAGCCTCAAGTGATTAATTTTATCCATCTGGACAGGGTCTGTCTCCTCAGAGGGAGAAAAGTCAACACCTGCGGTACAGGGAAGATTGCTTTGGGGTGCTTGTCCTGAAAACATCGAGCGGTTGAGGACCTTGGAGTTAATGAGATTTCTCAGAATTTGCATATTAATAACTGTGACTATTACTCTGCCATTAGAGTTAATAGGGCGTAATATTAACAATTAATAGTTAATAAAATAGCCACTTTAATGGCCGTTTGTATGTGAAGATGGAAGAATGTATCTGGGCACTGCCTTCGTGACATGGTGAGAGGACTTTGTTCCTCTCCTCTCTGCCTGAAGATGGAGGGGGAAAACTTTGGTTATTTTGGGTCTTCAACTTCTCAGCCTTATTTTGCAGGGAGAATTTTCTTTGGGGCTCATCCACCTCACTCCAGCAACATCCCTGCTCCTCCAAATCTCTGCTCTCTTCTCAGACAAAGAGAGAAAGCTATGGTTAGCATCTGAGCTAAGGAGCGCTGGCCATTTCCTCCCCTAATTGCCATTAAATGCAATTAGTGCTTCCCAGTGTGCCCCAGGAGCAAGGTCGTCATGGCCTCCAGCTGGAGAAATGCTCCACTCAGAGTTTTAAGGAGGGAGAACAAGAATTATTATTATTATTATTATTATTATTAATAATTCTTCCTTCACACAAAAATTGGCATTTTTCCTTCTCTCCTCCCGAAACTCAGCCAATGCAGAGGACGTGCCCTCCTGCTGCTCAGTGCATGTCCCATGAGCTGGTTGGAGACTCGCTGCCCTTGGGATTTTCCAAGGATTTTGCTGCTCCTCAAATTATCAGAGCAGCTCACTCCCCCTAGAAAGTGGGGAGAAAACCCACCTCTGGAGTCCCCAGACCTGCAGGGGTTTCGGAAGGGAGAAGATATAGGCTGTATCCTATAGAAATGGTGCTGGGATGGGAAAGAGGGAGGTGAATTCTGCTCCCCGAAGCTATCGCAGGATTTTGGGGCTCTGCCATAAGTAGCACAAGGGGTTGACCAGAGCAAAGGGATTACAAAGTTCATCACCTTTATAAGCACCTTCTCTCCTTCCTTCCTCTGCCAGGACGTGAGCTCCACCTCTGTGCTTAAGCCGGCTGCTTCCCAGCGGTGCCTCGAAAGGATAAAAAACTCCCTCACTGTATCCCTTTGCTAATGCACAGGAGCCGCTCGCCCTGCTGCTCTCCCAAAGGCAACCTCCAGGGAAGCTGGAAAAAAAAATCCTCCTGCTCATCCCCCACCCCGTATCCTTCCTGCCAAGCCCCGGTCTCAGGGGTGGAAGCAGGGCAGGAGTTGGCGACTCGTGCACAGATGGTTTTCCTGAAAAACTCCAGGCATCTGGCGACAGACTGCCTTGGCTTCTAACAGCTGGTCCTTCGGGGAGGGTTTTCTTCTTGGGTGAATTTCTCAGGGTTTTGAGGATGCAGAATCCTTCGGTCCTGCAGCAGGGTGTTCTGCAGATCCCCCCTTTCTCTTTGGAAATATAAGGTGTCTTTTTCCACTTAATATTGGTGTGTTTTTCCACTTCAAATATTGAGTTCAGACTGGCCACCAAAGCAGCCCTTGCTCTCCGGGTCAGGCAGGGGCTGGGATTTGCAGGTTGTGTTTGTGCATCAACATCACCCCATCTTTGCATGTCACTGTTCTTGAAGGGCAAAAAAAAAAAAAAAACACCCACAAAAAAACCCCAAACCAACACCAAACCTGTAATGCAAAGAGCAAAAAAATCTCGAGCTTCAGCACACCCTGCCCTGGCGAGGATGCTGTTTTAGCCAGCCTCCCACACATGCTGCGATGCTTGAGCATCAAAGGAGAAACCTCAGTGTTCCATACACCCTGAACAGCCCTGGTTTACCTCGCTGGAGGTTTCCTTGCAGATGGACTCTTGTAGGGAACATCTGCCCCAAAAACCTCTTGGGGTTGGTGTCGACTCTGACTAATTCAGCATTCTGTATCTCAGAGATTTCAAGGTGTTTTCCCCATAATCAGCCTTCTGTGCTGCCCCTGGGATGGATGGGGGGTGCTGGGGTGTTTGGAGAGCCCCAGGATGGGTGAGGGAGGGGGTGACCCCAGGGATGGAGGTGGGCAGCATGGGACAGGGCAGTGGGAAACATTTTCCAAGCTTGCAAACAGCTCTGAAGCCAGCTGTCTGCACCTCTCCTTGCTGAACACCCGTCGCCCCGAGGGATCCGTGCAAGGGGAGAAGACCCCATGTTCCCACCCCCGGGAGGTAGCAGATGGGCTGAGCTCCCAGGGGACCTGTCTTTTGGAGACTCTGCTCCACTTCTTTTGCCCTGGGGAGGAGTGAACAGCAGCTGCCTGATGCCCTGGGTTTATGCACCGGAGCAATCCCAGCACCAAAGTGCCCGTAAAACATTTGGTGAAGAGGGAAATGGATGTGGATCTCCTCATGCTCCTGCCTGGTTTGTTTATTCTCTCTGTTTTGCTTTTAGTAGGACAAGGGAAAGGCTCAGCTTTAGGGATCTGCTTCTCCCTGGCTGCTGCTTGTTAATGTGGAGCTGGATGAATAACGGGACCTCCTACGAGCAGGGGGGGGTGGGAAAATGCATGGAGTGGGGAAAGAAACCCTCTCCTGCAAAATGAAAGAAAAAAAAATTTAAAAAAGGAAGGGTGTTCTGAAATATCTGTTCTCTCTACCCCTGGCTCTGCATCCTGCTTGCTGGGTTTCAAGCTGCTCCTCCTGCTCCTGCCTCACCATGTTCAGAAGCATCTTTGCAACTTCCAGCCTTTTCCTCGTGGGCCTGACTCTCTCCATTGCTGCAGGGCTGCGGAGGCTGCAGGACCCGACCTGGACTCCCCCAGTTTGCTCTTCCCGGGGGCTCGGAGGCAGCCGGGGACCATCTGGGTCCCTGCCCGGGAAAGGCGAGGGGAGGGCGGTGGGAGGGAGCGGCCAGGCGGGGAGGGGAGAAGGATGCTCCGGGGCTGGCTCTTTTCTTTCTCGCCTGCCCAGAGCTCGCAGGAACTCGTCTGGAGGATGTCTCACCCCCTCAGCACAGGTAATTCCAGGACTCCCATCATCCCAGCCTGGGGGAAGGCGTGGGGGGGCTGCAAAGGGGAGGAGGGGGCTGTAATCCTGCTTTGAACAAAACTCCCTTCAAGGGGAAAAAGGGGCTTTGAAACAAAACGAGGAGGCTGCAGGTTGTGCATGATGCTTGGAGCCCTGCATGGGGGTAAGCCCTGCCCTAAAGTTTCCTTGCTGATAGCTGGGAAATACTTACAGGGGGGAATATCTGGGGGGTGGGAGTGCAGGAGCTGCTCTCCATGTATTTCTGGGATGTGTGTGGTGGTGATGCTCACGGCTCCGGGCACGGGCTGGGATGCTCCAACCCTCCCATCCTGTGCATGGTACCCCAGGGGTGCTGGATGTGATGCAAACACTCTCACTGCATCTCTGCGCCGTGCTCCGGTGGGTGCGTACAGTCCCGTGTTGCCGTTACATGCCGCGTGCATGGATGTACGGTCACGGCTGGGAAGTTTGTGTGTTAACGCATGCAGGGGATACAGCCGGTTATCTCACGCTCCTCTATAGCCACATGCATGGGTGCAGTTGCATGGGATTTAAAGGTATGGATGCACAGGAAAAGTGCAAGACCGGCAGCACAGCTCGGCAGTAATGCATAATACCCCGGGGAGTTATTATCGGCTGCCGTTATCCATCCTGCTGGAAAGCACACAGACCATCCAGCAGCCGTTGCAGGCGAACCGGGCAGCTTGTGCTCCTTTGAAAGTAGAGAGGAGCTTTTTCTGAGCATCTTCCAGCAAACTGTGTGTCTTTAAGCAGACTTGAGATCAGATTTTCGCTGAGCATGTGAGAACCAGTCGCAGCTTTGGGAGGGAAGAGCTGGGGTTGGGGAGGAGGTAGGGGGGGAATATTTTATTTTCTTAGCCTGTTTGTGTGATAAAATGTTCTGGTTTATCACCGGAGGTGTCATCGCTGGGAGAAAACTCACGCCGTTGCCCACTGCGGTGAGCTCAGAGCATGTTGCTAAGGGCCAGCTCCAGTCGGTTTCTGGAGCATCATCATCTTCTCTTTGTGGAGACCGCAGAGCAGCAGCATCTGGCTCGGAAATCGCTCCCGAATCCATTCATGACTGAGGAACCCTCCGTCCCAGCTAAGCCAGACCCACCATCCTCCAACCTCACCAACACCACGGACTGCGGCGAGGAGATCCTGCTCTATGGGGACACCGAGAAGATTGTTATCGGAGCCGTGCTCTCCGTCATCATCCTCATGACTATCGCCGGGAATGGTCTGGTCATCATCTCCGTTTGCATCGTCAAGAAGCTCCGGCAACCTTCCAACTACCTGGTGGTGTCCCTCGCAGCCGCCGACTTGTCAGTGGCCTTCGCTGTCATGCCCTTCGTGACCATCACAGACCTGGTGGGGGGAGAGTGGCTCTTTGGGAAGGTTTTTTGCAACGTGTTTATCGCCATGGACGTTATGTGCTGCACCGCCTCCATCATGACCTTGTGCATCATCAGCGTGGACAGGTAAGGGAGGACAAGGCACCTGCTGTGTATCCAGGTGGGATCGAATATAAGGGTGTTTCTGGAGACGGAGAGCTGGTAGAATCATATTCCTGGTTGGATCAATGCTTCTGCGTGTCTTTTCCAAGTGCACGGGGTTGTTGAGGGCCTTCTGCCCACTAGACCACCTCTCACTAGACCAGGTTGCTCAAAGCCTCATCCAGGCAAGGCTAGATGAGGCTTTGAGCAACCTGGGCTAGTGGGAGGTGTCCCTGCCCATGGCAGGGGATCGGAACAAGATTATCTCTAAGGTCCCTTTGAACCCAAACCATTCTGTGATTCTTTCTGTAGGAATTAAGTGCCTCAGTCCCTTTGGAAGAGCTGGGCTTAAGGTGCTTTCTCAATTAACTTTTCTAAGTTACTTGCTTAGCTTCACATTGTTCTTCCTTGGCTTGGGGAACAGAGCCTAGAAGATAGACCCACGACCCGACCTTCTCCATGGAAGGAGGCTGGAGAATAAAATTATTCAAGAAAAAAACCAAAAAAAACAACCCATAGGCACTTTGAAAATCCAGGTTATGGGGCTTTTGGAGCCCAGTCCTATGGGATGCTCTGCTGCTCCCTGGACTTGTGCCTTGGCCAAGGGTCTTGGCAACTCCCCCATCCCAAGTCCCCAGACCACCTGGTTTCATAGAATCATAGAATGGTTTGGGCTGGAAGGGACCTTAGAGATCACGGTGCATGCATTTGTGAGGTTTTGCTGGCTTCACCTCCCACACCTGGGGTTGGGAGAGAAAGGCTAAGCCCGTCTGGCAAACTGGCAAGACTCGGTCAAGTCAGCACCCCCGTGGGTCTAATTATAGCAGCCTGCGTCATTAGGGACATTGCGCTGATGAGCCGGATCCAGATCTGACGTGTGTGCTGGCTTTCTCGAGAGGTTGGTTTGGGTTTACGCTGGCAGTGCTGAGCCGGGCTGGTTTGTGATAAGCAGGTCAAGGAAGGGAGACAGTGACGAGATGCTTTCAGCTGAGCACGGTGCAGCATCGCCAGCGCCTGCGGTGGGTGCCGGCAGCTACCCAAGAGGTGCCGTGCCCATGTCCTGGCTCTGGTTGCTAAACAACCACCCTGGTCACCCTCCCCAGGTGTGAAACTGGGTGACAAAGCAGAAAGCAGAGGGAAAAACCTGCTGCTGAGACTGACATCCCCTGGCAAGCAAAGAGCAGCTCCCGCTCCAAAACCCTCGCCCCACGCTAGCCACAGCTCCCCTACGAGCTGCCCTTTGCTCCACGGCCTCCCCAGCTCGGTGCTGGTGGTCAGAGAGCAAAATCACTCCCCGGTTACATGGCAAGGTCCAGCTCTGCTCTAAATTTGTCTTTGTTTCAATAAAAAGCCTGTTTGTAAAAAGCAGGTGTGCTCAGAGCTGGCAGAAGTCTGCCCCTGTTAGAGGGAAGGAATCAAGTGCAGGGATGGAATATGCGAATGCTGCTTCTTGATGCGTGAGGAGCAGGGAAGCAGCTACTTGTTAATCAGATCAGCTTTACTTAAAAAATTTTCCTTCTCTCCCCATCCCTTCCCTTCCTATCTTATGCCATCCCATCCCATCCCACCCCATCCCTTAGAGCAACACTCTCCCAAACGTGCAAACAAATAGGACAGACCTTTCACAAAAATCACTGCAACTTGTTCCACTTGTTCACCACGTCTCTCTCACCCAGAGAAAGACAGACCAACATCCAAGGACACCGTGCAGGCAGGTGCCTGGGCTGGACACCGGTCTGTCCCTCCCCGCTGGAATGGGACGGGGCAGGAGGTTTGTGGGGAGGTGCGGACCCCAGCACGGGGGGTCCACACCTGTCAAGGCCAAATCCTGAGTGGTGCTGAGTGCTGTAGGGAAGGCAGAGAGGAGGAAACTGCTCGGTGTAGGATGGACAGGAGTTACATCTGTGTAGCCGAAATCCCCAGCTGAAATGGGAGCAGCCCTAAGGCTGCTTTAAGTTGCACCCACTGGTCACACAGCCAAGGAGGATCTTTTAACTGGGTGACGCTGGAGGCACTTGTGGGCACTTGTTCTCTTGGGGACCATCTCCAAGATAAGCTTGGAGGGGCTCAGAGGAGCCCAGGACTGGGACGGTTTCACACCGTTGCTGCAAAACTCATGCTGCAGGAAGGGAAAACCATCCCACCCTGCAGGGACATGGTCCCACACCCTGTCTTGTGCAGCTCGCAAGCACCTACTCGGCTCTGCTGCACCTTCTCTGAGTGCCAGCCATGCCAACTCCACCGTCTTTTTCAGATGTCGGAGAGGAAAGGGAGCTGCAGCAAAAGAAATAACAGAGAGAGCAGGTTTCTGTGTGCTTTTATGCAACAGCTTGACCTTTCTGTGCTTCAGCCCTCTCAGCAGGGTGATGGAGAAAAAACCTGTGATACAAGAGGCTGTGACAGAGCTTGAGTCTTCTGGCATGGGCTTGTACCTCGGGTGTGTTTGCACAGGGACCATGCCGTGCTGGGAGCCTGGCTGAGCTGCAGCATCGCCGTTTGCTCCCAGACCTTCATCCGCCTCCACCAAATCTTACGGGGAGGATGAGCAGTGAGAGGGGAATTGTTCAAGATTCATTTCTAGCTGGGAAAAGAGAAAAAGAGCAAAATGTGTATTTTGGGTGGAAGGAAGACCAGCAGGGCAGAGGGAAGGGGGTGGTCAGTCCGTACCGGGGCTTGAGGAGGGAACAGGAATAATTGGGATGTCCTCTGATGCATGAAAGGGGAATAGGTGATCGGGGCACTGTCCTGCTGCTTTCTACCCTGAGGTCCCCAGGAACGGGTTGTGAGTTGTGTGAATTATCCTGGGACAGTATCTTGAGCATCCTATAAGCCATTATTGCTCCACCTCAACCTATCATCCTCGCTGCTCCCATGAGGGAGGTGGATTGAGGAAGAGCACGGATCCAGGACCACGCCTGGATCTTCCACCTCCCCCTAGAGCTGGGATGAGCAGGGGTTTTGGTTTAGCTCCTGATGGAAACATCTCCAAAAGCACACTTTTCAGTTTCTGCGCTGATAGGAAGCAAAGCTGATCACAAAGCTAAAGCAAAAGGATAGCTGAGTTTGCAGAGAGCCTGAAACGCCTGCTCCAAAAGAGACGAAATGGCATGAGAGTGAGGTATTAACTGAAATATCAACCAGGGACAATAGCAAGCTGTTCCTCCTCTCCTGCAAGAGAGAAGAGGAACATCACTGGAGCTTCTCAGAGATAGAAATCCCTTCTCTCGTTCTGTCCTGAATGCCAGTGGGGTCAGCACTGGTAGGCAGGTGCCTGTTTCTGCCAAAGAGGAGGTTGTGCTTTTATTGATGGCTGAAGTGTCCGCGTATTTTGGTTAGCTTAGATATAAAAGATGTTTGGTTTGCCCAAAATGACAAGTACTATTAAAATGTAGGCTGCTACTATTGATTATTAATGCAGAGAGCTTTCTAAAAGCGTCTTGATTGAAGCTGGTAGAACTAATCTTTTCTGAAGGGGGGCTTGATTGATTTTCTTTTGAATCAAAAAAGAAAAATGCTGGAAACATCCATCTTTCTCTTACATTTTTTCTTATATAAAAGCTTGTTAATGTGATAGATTCTTTATTGCCTCAAACCAAAACCAAAACAACAACCAAAAAAAACCCCTTTTGGCTCTTCAGCTTTTGATGAAGCTCTCTGTAAAAATGCCAAGCAGCTGACAAAAGCAGCTCCACAAGCCCCATGTATCATTGCAGGTTTTCCTAGTGGAGGAATTTTTTCCCAGGCAGCCCCACTGGGGCTCTCCCATCTCCCTGGCAAGTATTTTCTACCTAAAATCAGATTTTATGCTCCAAATTGGCATAGACTTCAGTAAAAAGGATGCCTCCCAGAAGAGTTGGTGGGATGAAACCTGCAGAGCATTTTTTCTGGGTTGTCTTTCCTGTGTCCTTCATCCAAGCATATCCCAAGCCAGGTAGATCCATGTATTGTATCTCCAGAGAGCTGGAGTGGATCCCTGGGGTGCTCCCACCAGCCCTGGCTTAGAGCGTGGGCAGATGAAGCCAGAGGTAGCTGCATCCTCCAGCTGCCCTTTGCATCCTCCACCTGGAGTCTT